GTAGACCATCTTGCCTAGCTAGTTGCTAATGAAAAGGCAAAGTGAGAGATTTAAGATGAACATTTGGAGGCTAATAGACTAATTTGTATTTATAATCACTCCAGCCGGTTTCCTGGTACGTTAAATCTGCAATGAGAAACTGTCAAACACTAAAAAGTTGCGAAGCTGAAGTCAGCTTCTCTTTTGAATTTCCTTGTTTCACCTTAAATGGTGCTGCATTTACATTCTGGCACCTCAGGCAGAATTTAAGGTGGAACGGGAAAATTCGAACAAGAAGCTGGAGAATGGGAAGTGACTTCAGTCTCGTAAAACAGTCGAATGTTGAGAGACATTTTACAAGAAACTGTTCTACTTATGGAAAAGTTTCCTGGCGGAGATGTGAAGAAATCCATTTGTGTCCTTGTTATGTGCTGTCAACAAAGACACAAATGGATGAGTGAGAAATCTGAGCGGCACCCTCTGCATTACTGTCTGGGCGCTGCACTTCCACACTTCGAAGTTCTGGCTTTTGTGTTCCATCAACATTACTTTATCAGTTAAAATTTAGAAAATCAATTTTTGACATTTGTGAATCGCGATGCATCTAACAATTGATTTTCCCCCACCACTCATCATGCAGTGATAGCTTCAAACAGCTGAAAACACTGTCAAGATAGGTTGTGTTTAATGTGAGAATAAATTCACGCTAGGCTTTAAATCCAGAATCTTACCTTTTTGCTTTTGCCAAAAAAAAAAGTTTTTATGCAACTTTGCTATTTTGTTTACAGAGTTTTACATTAAAATTATATTGATGTATCACATTTGAAGATATTCAAATGACTTTAATATACCAACGTTGAGGACACGTTGATACCTTAATGTCATAGTAAAACTGAAATAATGTTGAGATACAAAAGTTGAAGACAGGTTGACAACATGTCATAATGACTTTGAAATATTATTATTATCCTTTTGCTAGCCACTGTGTACTGCCCATTCAAGTCCATTAAGGGCCCACCATGGGCTAAATGATGTGGGCCCAGTGTGGATTGACCCACAGTGGGCCCATATGAGGGTTATCCGTGGGCTAGCCCAGTGCTGTACTGCCCACTTAAGTCCAGTAAGGACCCATAGTGGGCTAACTGATGTGGGTCCAGTGTAGCTTGACCCACAATGGGCCACTGTCAGGTTTTCTGTGCGTTGGCCTAGCACTGTTCTGCCCTCCAAAATCCATTAAGGGCCTACAGTGGGCAAAATTATGTGGACCCAGTGTGAAGTGACCCACCGTGGGCCTGTGTCTGGTTATCTGTGGCCTAGCCCAGTGGTGTACTGCCCACCCAAATCCATTAAGGGCCCACTGTGCAGTGCAACTTCTCACTCACATAATGCTAACATTCCCTTACAGGCCTTCATTTACTGTTAGCAATGCTAGCATAATTGCATAATGATTTATTATAATAGCAGTGATCAGTAATTTATTTGAAACTAACATTTGTGAACTTTGTAAATGTTGATGAGTCGGTGCTGCTGCTGCTGAAGAGAAGTGTCCTCTTAGAAGAGCTTACCTGATGTCAAGGTTGGATATGATTGGCTTACAACTTTATGAGGTTTGATTTGATTGGCCAAGCCAGGCATTATGCTTTTCTCCAATGCTCCAAACAATGGAGAACTGCCATCTCCCATTATTTTAGGAAATTTCTGATTCCCAGCACTTCACTTGCAAAAACCTCCCTTGCAAAAACAGGAACAGCAATGCTATCATAACAAGAGTCCCATGCAATTCTACGGTTAACCCCTTAAATGGCCAGGGCACCCAATGTGCCCAAAGTTTTATTACATACTTCTTTAGCCTATAAACAAGCAGTAGAAAATGAGTTTATGAAAAATGTTTAAGGTTACTACTTATTTCATTTGCACCAAAATAAAATATATCCAAAGAAATGTTTAAAATTATTGTTTATTTTGGATTTTATGAATCGTATCTACCAAGATATGTTGCCTCATTAAGGTGTAGAAAGAGCCAGAAAGGTAAACATTTTTATGTTTTATTTGATGATCAGAAGTGATACATTCTTGTTTTCTCAGGTCATTGCATCACATAGTTTTTAACTTGATTTGATCATTTCTCTCAAAGTATAGGCTTACTACAACCTTGAAATTTTTGGTTGCTATTCACTTGATAGAACAGAATTGATAGGGCTGAAGGTTGTAGTAGGCCTATGATAGAATCAATATGAAAAGTGGTATGTGTGAGGTAAATAATAGGAAAACAAGAACTGTGCTGCCCTGCAGGAAAATACACTGAGCAAGTACTTTATCAGGAACACCTGTACACCCACTTAATCAAGCAATTATCTAATCAACGAGTTGTGTAACAGCAGTGCATAAAATCATGCAGATATGGGCCAGCAGCTTCAGGTTATGCTTACATCAATCATCAAAATCGCTGGATTGCCACAGCCTATTTAAGTATTGTTGCCGACCATGTGCATCCTTTCATGGCTACAATTAACTGTCTTCTAGTGGCCACTTCCAGCATGATAATGCACCATGTCACAAATGTAATCTCAAACTGGTTTTAATGAACATGACAATGAGTTCAGAGTTCTTGAAAAATCCGCAGGATTTGCATGATGTAATCTTATCAATATGGACCAGAATCTCAAAGGAATGTTCACAACGTCTTGTTATATCCATGCTATTAAGAATTGAAGCTGTTTTGAGAGCAAAGGTAGGCCCTACTGTGTATTAGTACAGTGTTCCTAATAAAGTGCTCAGTAAGTGTATAAGGTTATATTGTCATTATGTACATACCTGTTTTTAAATTCTTTTTTTTTATGCACAACAGACCAAATATAGTGACTATTAAGATACAGCAGAACAAAACAATAAATACCTGTGCATGATAATATCTGTTTATGCAGTGAATATTGACATGTTTTCCTTTTTGAAATTAAATTTTGAATACTACACATTGACCAACATTTTACACCTAATCTGGCAATGTATTTCAGGGGATACATTTTTTTTTAAAGTAGCTGACACCATTAGACCATTTTTTCATCAGCATATTAAGACAATAGTCATCATTAGTTTGATAAATTTGTGTTATTGTTTTATTAAAAATAACTATGAATAATATATAATTACTTATCACCTGATCAGTAAGTCCTACACCACTGGCAGCCATGATGATTTGTGAGCAAGCTGACTAAACAATGACATATAACCAGAACCAGGTCATGTGACCTACATACAGATAAGACTTGATAAATGATAATTTAATTGGGTGAAAACCTTCAGTCATGCCCCCTACAGGATGTTAAATATTTTGTATCTCCTGGTGCACGTTGCCTGTTTTAGGGTTAACCTAAGAATAGTTTGCTTCGAAGTCCCTGTATTTACTGAATAATAAGCTTTAGTATGTTGTAAGCCTGGGATTTTAAGGGGTTCAATTAAGTTGATTTCATTCAATTGATCACTAAAATGTTTATTTAACACTCTATGCATTTATACTCATATGACAATAAAATATAATAATAATAATAATAATAATAATATGAACAACAACAACTTCTACAACAGGAGAGGTGAGATTGAGACAATATTACGATTTTTTTCAGAATATAAAAATGAAAAGAAAGATAATAATCATTCATTATACATAACGTATATTTATGAATATTATATTCATGACACATTTTGCAAAATATTGTGAGTATATGTATGATATACCATGTGAAAATATTATGAATAATTATAATATTATAGTCTTATAGTCTATAATTTGGCATAGCAACTTTTGGATGTAATTGATGGTAAGATTATTCTCTCTCCCTTCTTATTCAGAATCATCACCTAAAGTCAACCGAATATAAACCGAACAGCATACATCCATTTTTATTATTAAATGTAAACATTCCAATCTGCCAAGTAAAGCCATCATGAAAAAGATCAATTAGATTGTCAATGAACAGATTTTATTAAGAATAAAACATTATTATTATTATTAGTAGTAGTAGTGGTAGTAGTAGTAGTAGTATTAGTATTAGTATTAGTATCATCTAAGGTGTTCTTTTATGACAGTCTTAGGTTTTATTATTAGGTGTTTTACAACAGTTAGTTCCGGCCATGCAATTGATTGGTTGAGTAGCGTTCTAACCGTGCTGTTATTTCGCCATAACATCACGGGTTTTTCACAAACAATGTATCACTCTGCTGAGATGCCGTTGCTAAGCAACAACTTTGACAGCTGTAGGAGACGCTCAAGCCATTTGAACGTTTTTACTTCTTACTTTGCGCGAAAACAGAAAATGGATACTTTTAAGATCACATTTGACTGCCAGTTGGTCTGTGTAAGGAGCTGGAGAACGAACTGCCGGCTGTGCAGCCTGTGAGGAGCTCGTTACTCTGACGCAGCAACAAGCTGCTTGTTAACGTGTTCTTTTATGATGTTCATTCTACTGTTTGTTTTTAAAACAATAAGAATAACAATGCTTTATTAAACCTTGTGCTACTGGTTATGTTCTAGTATCACTGCATGCTAACGTGAGCAAAGACAGGCAGCAAAACTTAATGCTTTAGATTTAAAACAAAAAGATGAAAAAATGTACTAGAAGAACATACAGTGATCAGTCTAAGGTCTCAGACCTTTTTCTCTCAGTAGCAATTTTTATTTTCATTTTATTTGAGTATGTTATTTTCAATGTAGCCAGTTGGATATTTTCAAATTCTGATTGTACACAAATAAAAAAGGATTCATAAACAATTTATTTATTCTTACTTTTTCTAATATTATGTTCCCTAAATCCTTTCTTGGATGATTTTAATTTCCATGTGTTTCACTTCATAACACTCTTTTTGATCATTATTAACTCCTAAATAAAGACAAAGTAACATCTCAGTCATTAGTAATGAATGTGTTTCACTTTATAATACTGTTCTAGATCATTATTATCTCGTTATAAAGAACACAGTAACACCTCTGTCATTGGTAATGAATTACCATGTGTTTCACATTATAATACTGTTCCATATCATTATTAATTCCTAAGGAAGGACACAGTAATAACCTGCTCATTAATAATGAATTACCATGTGTTTCACTTCATAATGTTGTTTCAAAACATTTTTTAACTCTTTCTAAAAATGGATGCAGTAACACCTCATTCATTATCTAACATATATTGAATACATAATCAATTGGTAATATTTAGAAGAACTGGAGGTAGGCCACATACACAGCCACATATTTCTGTGAGCCATTTCTTTGATTGACCGTGCACTCAAGAGGACTTTAAAGGGTTACTACTGTTCAGAATAAATGACACACATGCTCACAGAAAAAAAAAATATGTTTTGATGGCAGCAACTGTTGCTCAAAACCTGTATACACTTACATGCCAAAAGTCATGGGACAGCAGTATGTAATTTGATTATAAAGTGGCATTATCTCACGGGGACAGCTTGAGAATGCCCACACTTGTTTAAGTCGTGAGGTGTTATCTTGTGAGTGAGGCTGAACACTGGCCAGTGTGCTCATGGCAAGGCAACATGTGTTCGATAGAGGCACGATAGTGGGTGCCAGACGGATGGGAAATTCCATTTCTGAAGTTGTGCAGGCATTTGACATTCCTCGATCCACAGCGTCACGTGTGTCCTGGGAGTACATCATAGAAGGTATTACTACTCACAGTGGACAGCGCAGTGGCCACCCAAGGGTGCTTAATGATCATGACCAGCAGCGTCTGGCTAGAATTGTCCATGTGAACAGACATGTGACTCTGGCAGAAATCACATCCACATTCCCGCACGGTACCAATTGTTTCAGGCTGATGGTAGGGTTTGTGTGTGGCGCAGACCCCATGAAGCCATGGACCCCAGTTGTCAACAAGGCATTGTGCAGGCTGGTGGTGATTCCATACTGGTGTGGGCTGTGTTCTCATAGCATGGGCTGGGTCCATTGGTCTGCCTAAACACGTCATTGACCGTTTCACTGCTTGGTGACCATTTGCAGCCCTTCATGGACTTTATGTACCCCCACAATGGTGGGATATTCCAGCAGGATAACGCATTGTGCAATCAGGCCCAAGTTATTCAGAATAGGTTGGAGGAGCATTCTGGAGAGTTCTGACAAATGATGCAGCCTGCACATTTGCCCCAATCAAGCATTTATGGGATGTTATGGAGAGGTCCATTCGCACCAGAGATCCTGCACCTACAAACACCACAGTGCTGTGGGTGGCTACCCAGACAGCATGGCTCAACATCCCTCCAGACGTCTTTTGTCCACTTGTGGAATCGAAGCCACGTTGAGTTGCTACGCCAGGCTAGACGGGGTCCTACACGATACTAATTCCTGTTCTGTGACTTTTGGCATGTCAGTATGAATCGTTAAGCATTAATGGTGCCATCACACCCATGGTCCATGGAAAAAAATTTCAGATTTTGATATGTCAGACCACAGAATACTTTTCCTTTTTGCCTCAGTCCATCTTAAATGAGCTCGAGCCCAGGGAAGGTGGCGATGTTTCTGAATCCTGTTTATTATATATGGTTTCCTCTTTGCATGGTAGAGTTTTAATTTGCATTTCTGGATGCAGTGATGAACTGCGTTCACAGACACATGCAGTGATTTCCACGACAGAATCATGTCTGTTTTTAATGCAGTGCTGCCTGGGGGACCGAAGTTTAGGGCCATCCAATATTGGTTTTCTGCCTTGTTCCTTGCGTACAGAGATTCCTCTGGTTTCTTTAAATTATATCATCTAATGCAAATTATGAAATTATGAAGTTCTTTGCTCTTTTACATGAGAAATGTTAGTCTTGAATTGTTGCGCTATTTATATAGTTTTTCATAGAGTGACAAACCCACTCCATCGTTATTTTGAAAGACTCAGCATTTCTGGGATGTTATTTTAATAACCAATCATGTTACTAACCTGTTGCAAATTGACCTAAAAAGTTGTGAGAAGTTCCACCATGTTTTTTTTTTGTTTGTATTACAGAACTTTACCAGTTTTTTTTTAAACTGGCATCAAACTCAAAAACTATCATTTCTCAGTTTCAACATTTGATATGCCATCTTTGTACTACTTTGAATTAAACATAGTATTTAAATGATTTGCACATCATTGCATTCTGTTTTTATTTACATTTTGCACAGTGTCCCTACTTTTTTGGAAACAGGGTTATACAGTATGATCCAATCACTCAAACTGACTAAAATGGCCTTATCCGCAAGAGGCTGAAGTGGCTGAACAAGCAGGGGAACGGCTACTTTCTACTTGTTTAATCAGTTGGTTTCCATCCCAGACAATTGAACATGTGCTCCTGCTTTGTTGACATAAAACGTGCACCAGCCCTTTGCAGATTAGAATAGAAATCCCTGTGCTGTATAGGCAGTGTCGTTGATAATTGTTATGCCAAGATTAACTCACCTGTGAGTTGCCACTGTGTAGACCCTGATCCACAGTCTTGCACTATAAATAGTTTTCAACAAGCATTTAATTATTAACCAACTTGGCATCACTAAAATCTAAAAAATATAATGTTGATGTGAAAACATTTCGCTGTTGTCAGAAGAAACCTTGTATCTCCAAAATGATTATATTACAGTAGAAGGAAAAAAAAACTACTTTACTTTTAATGTAAATCAATGGAACCAGACCTTTTCCTAAGTATTTTTGGGCTATTTTTGGGTTTCTTTTTGTCCATTCTTCATGAAATTTACACACAATGTAAAGGGCCACAGGCATTTTCAAATTGTCAAAAACTGAAACTACAAAAATGGAGATATGAGGTTTTCTTCCGACCGCAATGATTTCCTTGTCAGAAAAGTTTTGTATTGTAGTTTACTTGGCTAACTGTTAGTTTTATTTAATTGGAATGAATGTTGAGTGAGTTTATGAAAACTGTAAATCATAAAGGAGCCTGAAATGACTAGCATTAGACCAATTAACTAGTAAAACATATAGAAAATATAAAATTATAACTAACAGCAATAACAGTGTTTGTTTAAATAAGAGTACAGAGAGAGTACAGATTACAGCTCATACACTCAAGATCTGCGAAGAAGGCCATGTCTCTTCAATGTCAGGTCCTGATGTCGTTGTAACCTTTACACATCTGTTGACAGAAAAAGTAGTAAAAGTATAAATAAAGACACAGTTTGCAGATTTTACATATCAGAATCTATGTCCTCATCAGCAGGACCAGGGAGAGGACATAGAAAAAAGACTCTTAAAAAGACAAAATGGATTTACTACATGGACTGTGTTAAACCTAAAGGACAGTATGAGGAATTGCATCTTGCCTGCCATGGATGTATACATTTGTGTAAGTTAACAAAAAAAACATTTTCATTTCTAACTTAATTTTAAAAAGTTTGACGTTTGGGTGATAGATAATACTGTCTGACTAAATTTAAATTCTTTTAAAGTATTACCTGATTAACTGCTATATTATGGTGGCAAAACCTCCTCTCACTGCTGTTCATATCGGCTATGCTAACTGGAAAAAAATCTGCATTTAATATTCCTTTACTGAGTCTAGAATTGTGACATAAAATTTAAATAATACTAGAGAATTATTATTAATTTTAAGCTTCTTGTACAACAAATGGTTAAAAACACAGCCTGACTTCTTGCTTTTATGTTGCAGAGAAGGAGAATTTAGATCTCATGAAGTATGATGGTCATCTGATGTTTATGAATTACTGCAGTTTGAGTGTGTGACTGTTTTCGCACTATTGAAAATTTCTTTTTAAAACATTTTCCTGTTATCATGTTATTCAGTAAATTTAAATAAAGAAATTAATAGAAAGTTTTGTTTGTTTTAGGAGAGTTGGCATTTAAAGAAATGACGCTCGCTGTAGACGATGCAGGGTGGTTTTCACAATGTTATAGTAATAGATTTTCTAAGGGCTATTAGCGTCATGTTGAATTTTTGTGAGACTTTCAATGATGTGTTAGTCTTAATTCAGCCTGTAAAAATTCAACCAACATTACAATAGAACTTGGATTCACTGAACTTAACTCTGACACTTTAATGGTGACTTAACATGGATTCAGTGATGGTTTGCAAAGCTAAGCTTATCACAGTGCAAACATTTTTAACGTTGCAGCTCTCACTGAGCACAATCTCACGAAAGTTTTTAACATTTGGGAAATGGCAGTGAGTTTGACTGTCTGTTCATGTCAATAGATCAGCAGTCCCTGCAGTTTAGGGAGAGTTTTTTTTTTTGTTTTTGTTTTTTTTTTTTGATGTAAGCAATGTTAGGAATTGTTTTATTTTCTAATTTCTGTTCTTTTTCCTTGGTTTGGTTGATTATTCATAAGTAATTTTTTGTCAAAAAGTGGTGGTTCCTCACCCCAGTAAAATTAGCCAGATATTCATTTATATAATTTAGATAGCTTGTGGTGGTCATTGTACCCTTGCACAGGACATTTAATATAATTAATAGCATCAATGGAATGTCTAACAACAAAAATCTGATTGGCTAAGCCACATTTGAAGCTATTGTAAAATACTGTTTATCCACACTGCAGGAAAAAATAAAGACACAAGCAGGCAATCTAAGGTAGATCTGTACAAATGTGGTCTTTAATGTGTTTGATGGCAGCGAACATAAAAAGCTATAGCTTGTACCATAGAATTTCAGGTATATCTGCAGACAGAATAGCACAGCATCATAATTTGATGCAAAGAATCTTACTGAGAGATATGAAATATAATATTCTGACTAATATTTTCTAGAACAGAAATGAATTATATGTATTTCTCTATTATTCAAATTCTTCCTGAGACAGCAACAAACCCAGCCCATTTACCTCTAGGATTAACGATTTGACAAATTTTATGACATACTGTATGCTTTCCTATATTCTGTAAAACATTTAATTATACAGAAGAAATGTTTGAACATCTGAAGAAAACAGGAAAACTGAAAAGACCTATATTTGCTTACCAGAATAGGTCCATAAAAAACAGGCAGAATGAGTTCTCTTTTACATATCTCTGCTTTATCTGATGCTGGAGGTCCTGTTTTCCTACTGTTATGTTTCCTGTTTACACTCAGTATTTATGCTTCAAAACTGAAAGCTAACTTTACAGGGAGAAAAGGGAGGAGGGGGCTATGCCAAGTAGGATTTCCCAGAAATGCCTTGGTAATTACTGGAAATGGTGAGAGTTTATTCTTTTGTTTGAAGATAATGATGTACAGCCCTGCTCAAGTTTGAAGACTGTACAATCAAATAAGTGAAGCATTCATATTATTTTAGTTCCACCACTATGGTGGAGTGTTACTAAGCTGTGAGCATGATAATTTACACTGTAACAGCAGAGTCTGACTAGACGGTGAGCTTACTGAGCCCATCTAGTATTAAATAATTTGTCACATTTTTGTGACATGCACTTTCCTATATTCTGTAAAACATTTTAATTACACAAAAGAAATGTTAGAAATTCTAAAGAAAACAGCAAAATTGAAAAGCCCTGTATTTGCTTACCAAAGTATATCCATAAATAACATGCAGGATGAGCTGTTATGTAGATATGTTATATTTTCTATTTGCATTCAGTATTTATATTTCAAAACTGAAAGCTAACTTTACAGAAAGTAAAGGGAGGAGGGGGCTACACCAAGTATGATTTCTCAGAAAAGTCTTGGTAATTATTAGAACTGGTGAGAGTTTATTCTGTTGTTAGAAAATTACAATGTACAGTCCTGCTCAAGCTTGGACACTGTACAATCAAAAAAGTCATATATTCAAATGACTTTATTCAAATATCTACATGAATAAAATTTATTAACATAACTGAGATTAGATTAAGATTGTATTTTATGTTATTTGGAAATAATGCACACATTTTAATCAAGTAAATTCAAAGTATTGTTTATTCTAGTGTAGAGCTTGGTAGCAGACGTTTCTCACCTGGGCTGTTGTAAGGCACAGATTAGAGCAGGGGGTTGGGTACTGGAGTGTGCAGGTAGGGGGGTTGAGCTGACAGCAGGGAAACCAGTGGGGGTGGGAAACCAGTGGAGGGTGGCTATGAAGTGAGAGTTGTGAAGAAGGAGAGGGAGCAAGGCAGTGCACTGGTAGTCCAGAGGAGGGGGGGTTGCAGCAGCGGGGACTTTGCACTTTGACAGAAGAGACTGACTAGGCTGTGAGATATGGACTTGCAGAGTAAGACTAGGCCATGGTTTGGGGACTTTGAACTGTGACAGCAGAGTAAGTTTAGGCTGTGAGTTTGGGACTTTACACTGTGACAGCAGATTTTGACTAGGCTATGACTCAGGCACTATGCACTGTGAATGCAGAGTAGGACCAGGCCGTGAGTCGACACTTTGCACTGTGACAGCAGAATCTGACTAGTATGTGAGTTGGGGACTTTTACTGCGGAGTTTGACTAGGCAATGAGTCGCGGACTTTGTACTGTGACAGCAGAGCAACACTAGGCTATGAGTTGAGGACTTCTCATATTTAAAAAAAATATATATATGGACATACATTTCAAATACATTAAAATACATGCCGATTTTAAAATGTTCTTTTTTAATGGGGAATGCTATGGGGAAATATTGCACAAAGAAATGTACCATACAAAATAAATATATGAAAATGTATAATATATTTGAAAATGTATGAAAAGAGCCAACATCCTTGTCTAATGCACTTTACTGTTTGGAATACCTCCTGAAATGAATTTATATTCCAGTGTCTTTATTTTTAGTATTAGCAAATGAACTTTTAACATGGAATCAAGTGTTGTAGATACTGATACAGCATGAGAATGGAATTCAATGATCAGTCTTTTACATTTTGTGTGAGTACTATCTTACTGCATATGTACCACGATAAATTCAATACCTTTCATTCAAATTACGTATGTTTAGTTATAGCTGTAACCTTTAGTAAAACTATATCAAACTGAAAATAAAACAAATACAGTAACACATTTTTAAAAATGCATTGATTGGCCATTTTCATGCAGTGCAAAAATATATTTGATAAATACATTTGAAATATTTTTTTTGTGTATGAGTTTGCACCATGGCAGCAGAGTTTTACTAGATTGTGAGTTGAGTACTATGTATTGTGACAGCAGAATAAGACAAATGAGGACACCGATGCTATATTTCATGAACGTGCTGCAAACACAGAAAATGCTTTCATCACAATGACTACATCAGAGCTACACTTTACAAACTCACAAAAAAAAAAATACAAACAGGCAACTTCAGAAATGCTGCCAATCACAACACAACGGAAGTGAGCAATAACACAATGGACATGTTTCTGGAAGACCAAAAAGGGGATGGGATATCTATGACGCAAGATCATTGACAAAAGTCCACAGGCACTCAGACACTCACATCCTAGGTTCATGGTTAACCTGGCAGGCTAGTCACTCACCAAACAAACAACACAAAGCAAACAAACCAAAACAAAACCAATGCGACGCTGCCCACTTTTCAGTGGCTTCTACCTAGACTTTTCTTCACTGGTGCTTTCAGCTCTTCACTCCGTCTGCTCTGCTGCTGCTCATCCCTCTCTCTCTGTTCCCTCTCAGCTCTTTTAAAAGGCGCTCCCGCTTTAAAAGGAGCACCCGAGCCGAGAGGGAACAAGAGCTGGTTGCTTTGCCACCCTGTCACCGCCCCCACGGTGGAGCTCGGGACTCACTCCTTGCTCTCATGCCTCTCGTGGCCGGCACCGTTGTCCTCCTCCTCCTGCCGTCACTCGCGTCCCTTGGCGGAGCTCAGGCTTTGCGCTCCATCCCCCATCCACTTGCGGCTCTCCCTGCCGTCCTCGCCAGGGTTCGTCACAGCTCGGTGTCATCGGGCCTGAAGCCTAGAAAGACCAGCCAGGAGCTAGCTGCAGTAGTCAGGCCTTGAGATGAAAAAGACTGAACTAGCACCTGGGTGGCCTTATGAGAGGGAAAGGGTCAAATCCTCCAGATTGTAGAGGAGAAACCTGCATAACCAAGTCAGGTTTACAATATGAGCTTAGAACCATACCTGGTTATCCAGAATCACACCAAGTTTTCTTGCATCTTCAGACGAAATGGCAAAGGACCTCTCAAATGAGGTGGCAAGACCACGTTAAGGACCTGTAGTTCCAGGGATGAATAACTGGTCTGTCTTGCTAAGACTGAGCTTCAGGGGGAGCTGCCATTCATGAAGAGCTATCAGTCATACATGCCGAGATGTGACTGGAAACCTGAGTATCAAAAGGTGGGAAGGAAAGCATTAGTTGGATGTCATCAGCATAGCAGTGGTAGGAGAAGCCATGAGGGTAACACTTTACAATACTGTTTCATAGTTAATAAGTAACTAATCAGGAACTAAGCAGGAACAAATAAATAGTTCTGCATTAATGCTTGAGAAACTACTCTTAACTACCAAGGTCTACTAGTTAACTACTCAGTAGGTAATAATGAATTAATGATTAGGGTAGTTCACTATTAACTAAACAATAACTACTGAGTCTTATAGAGAATTACTTAGTACCTATGGTTTCTTAGAATAATTACTCATAATTTACAGATCAATTCAACATTAGTTGCTCAATAGCTGTGTCTGACAAGGTTCCTGCTGAACTACTAACTGATGTAGTGTATTCCAACACTTCTACCAGTAGTGAAATACACTACACAGTGTGCAGTCTCTACAATATAATGGATTATACCCTCCATTTCTACTCACAGAAACAAGTATCCTCAGAGAAGACTGGGGTATCACACCACACTGTAATGACTGGTGTCCCTCATGTGTTTGTTTTGATCAGAAACCTTAAAAGGCTAATGTACATCTTCATATTTGTCAGTGTGAACCAATTTAAACATCAGCCTACAAATGGGGCAATTGCTAAAATACTTCAGTATTCAGTAGACCAGTCTGCTTACCTCTCATCTTTAGAAAAGAAAACATCACTCTTTTCTGCATGGGCACATGTGCCAGTGTTTCTTCTGAACAGTAGTTCTCTTTTAATGTCCTCTTAATCATGATCAGGAACAGTATTATAAAGTGAAACAATGATAACTCACTATTAATGAACTAGGAGTTAATAATGATCAGGAACAGTATTATGAAGTAAAACACATGGTAACTCATTAATTAATTAGAAGTTAATCATGATCAGGAACAGTATTATAAAGTGAAACACATGGTAACTCACTATTAATTAACTAGGAGTTAATGATGATGATCAGGAACAGTATTATGAATTGAACTACATTAGAAAGAAAAAAACCCTAAAGAAATGGTGTACTGTAGTACAAAAAATATTAATAGTAAAGAAATTTTGAAAGAAGTAAGAGTGAATAGGTTATTGAGTCCTTTTCATTTGTGAACAGTCCAAATGTGAAAACATCCCTGGGTTAGCTATCTTAGCTCAGATTAGTTAGCAAGTCAGCTAACTGTGTCTCTAGATTAGTGCTGCAATCTGAATAAACCCTTGAATCTGAGTCAAAAGTCACACATTAGTGGCCGGGCGGTCTGCCATGAGTCTGATTCACTCATCATACATCAGGAGATACAGCGAGTCACAATTAAAATATGAACAGAATTATCAAACTAATCTAGTGAGAACACAGGATTAACTGCTCTCCTTTTCCAGCACTAGCAAAAACCTCATGGGCACTCAACAGAAACACCAAAGCTATCATAATAAGAGTCCTCTGCAACTATATTGTTAAAAGTTCACTTAATTCAGAAGAACTCTAAAATGTTTATCTTAAATGTCAACACATATGTATTTGTACTACTACTACTACTACAATAATATAATAATAATAATAATAATAATAATAATAATAATTATTATTATTATTATTATTATTATTATTATTATTACTATTATCAGTAGTTATAGTAGTAGATTGTGGTGATAGAAGTTAAATGAGTGCATATTTGAAGTACTTCAATGAAAAAATACAGAACATTTTTTACCTACATTTTTGGAACCAGGCCTTTTTAGAGAAGACCACCTGACACTTGGCCCACAGACAATTTGATTTTAGGACCCTTTATTTTATATTTTATTTCAAATAAAGTCTAATTGATCTTTCCATGATAGCTTATCTGGGCAGATCAGTATGTTTTCCTTTAATAATAAAAATGGATGTATGTTGTTTGGTTTATATTTAGTTCACCTTAGGTGGTGATTCCGAAGAGATTTTTGAGAAGAAGGGACAGGGAATAATCTTCCTTCAAAGTTATAATGCAGAATTAGACTAGTATTATAATATAATACTTTTTCACAATATTTTCAGTCTATAAATTATTTAATGTTTAGTTTTACAAAATATGTTATGAATATAATATTCATCTATATATAATGTATATTGAATAATAAGGAACTTTTTAGTGGTTTCAGTGGTTTTTCTCCCCTTTCTTTTCACTTTTAAATTCTGATAAATCTTGTCTTAGTCTCAATCTTGTCTTGGTCTCACCACTCCTGTTGTTTTTTTTTTTTTGTAGTAGTAATAGAAGTATATATAAATAGAGCATCTGACATTTAAAATAAGAAACATTTTAGAGTTCTATTGAATTAAAAAAACTACATTTAACAATAGAGTTGGACAGGACTCTTATTATGATAGCTTTGGTATTTCTGTTGAGCGCCCATGAGGTTTTGCCATTGCTGGAAAAGGAGAGCTGTTAATCTTGTGTTCTCACTAGATTAGTTTGATAATTCTGTTCATATTTTAATTGTGACTCGCTGTATCTCCTGATGTATGATGAGTGAATCAGACTCATGACAGACCCCTGGGCCAATGTGAGACTTTTGATTCAGATTCAAGGGTTTATTCAGATTGCAGCACTAATCTAGAGACACAGTTAGCTGACTTGCTAACTAATCTGAGCTAAGTAGGTACGGTCCTCTTGTACAATGTATGTTTTGCCATGTTGTTTCAGAATTATAAGCATATGTTAGTGCTTTATTAAACCTAAAGCTGCTGCTGATGTTCCGTTATGAGTGCATGCTAGCTAGTTAGCTAGTTAATTTAGCTAATGTGAGCTAAGCTAATAGGCAGTAAAACTTTGTGCCTCAGATACAAAACAGAAATATGTGTAACTAATGTACTAGCAGAATATACTGTGATTGGTCTCAGCTGTCAGACTTTCTCCTTCAGTAGTAATAACAGATTTAGATTTTTTTTGTTTGGGTGTTTTCAGTGATATAGCTAGCTAACCTAGGGATATTTTCAGATTTGGACTGTTCACAAATAAAAAAGGACTCAATAAACAACTTATTCACTCTTACTTTTTTCAAAATTTCTTTACTATTAATATTTTTTGTACTACAGTGCATCATTTCTGTAGGGGTTTTTACGGTAACACTTTACATTAAGGGTCGCTAATCAATCATTAAATATATAATAATCAACTATTAGTTTCCCATTATTTAGTTATTAGTTAACTCTTCATTAAGCATTAGCTATTACTTAGTAATTGATTAAGCACTTATCAATTAGTAATTAAGTACACTATTAGTTGATAAGTTAGTTTGTCGTTAGTTTGTGGCTTACTTACTCATTATCTGTGTGCTAATTGCTGCTTATTACATTGTTAATTAACTAATAAGTATTTTTCTTCATATAAAGAAGTAACGTGATAACTTACTAGCACTTATGTGTTAATCCCGCTAATTATCTGTTAATTAACTTTCCATCACCTCCATATATTCAGTTGCTTCACTTTTCTCACTTTGGTTCATTAAAGATGCTTATGGTCACATCTGACTGTAAGATGAGCGCACACAAATTCATGGACGGTTTTGTTATTCATCACGTTCATCTTGGCATATCTGTACTCATATCTGGTAGGAGTGCATGTAAATTCGGGCATAAATGCTGGATATGTGGCTAATTAACCAAAACTATTATCAACATAATCTGTATTTGCAAAAATAAGAACAATAGAAAATATCAATGATAGTAATTTGTGTGCATGACAGTCCAGTACAAAAGTGGATGTACTTACTTTACATGCACATTGATATAAACAAGTGCTGCAACTATTTCATGTTCCATTTAAAGACACATTACACTGTGCTTTTGTTGTCATACACTGCAATAATACAGCGTTTATTTTAGGGAATTAATTACCATAAACAATCACTCTACCATGTTAATAGTACTGAGAGTATTTAGTTTTATTTACATTTTATTTTTTCCATTTTTTTTTTCATTTTAATACTATTAAGTTTGGTCAGCAGGGGAGGAGTGCACTCACTACTGGACATCAAACTCCACCTACGAGCACGGCCATTAGCTTTCATGCCAAACACTGCCGTTTTATTGGCTGCTACTGAAATATCTGCATGAATTAGTGTGTGCTTCATGTAAATGATATGTAAATGAGGTGCTGGTCGGCTGGTTTCATGCACTGAAGCTGATTTATCATTTATGCTCAAATCTCCATTTGTTTCCACATCGTACAAAATTGTTATGAATCAGACGCAGAGCAGTTCATACCTTATAAAAGGCAAAACGTGTTCTTTTTTTACGTAACTTTGATGATTAATGGGCCCTTTTCACAAGATTCGTGATTACTTCCGGTTTAAGCATTAGCAGGGTAAAACTCACTTCCTCTCCATATAGCTACTGCAGACGTGATGTCAGAATGTTTAGTAGTGAACTATAACGCTCAAACACGGAGCTCCAGCAGCTGTATTTTAGTTTTCCTGCACGGCTGTGACAGTGAGAGTAAGAAGTCGACGGAAGCTCTGATTTAACTGTAAACAGAGCTAAAATGCTGTATGTTGTTTTTACTGCAGTTCTGCTGCAGCTGCTTCACATCAAGCCGTCTCTGTGTCTTTGTACGACCTGCCAG